CACCCTGATCAAAGACTTGACCTCGATGGTGAATGTATTGTCTTACATTTAGAAATTCCTGTAGAGTCATTTGCTGGCACATTTGGATTATACTTTTATCTAAACATATAATTCCAACTTCATTGATTGTATTACCTCTTATCGGTTAGGGTTGGGAGACAAGTTGTCAATATACCATCTTTCATGGTGAGAGTGGAGTCCCAGAAACACATTGATTTCTCTTTGACAAGTCCATTTGGAGGTGGTCGCCCTGGAAGAGTGAAGAGAAAGAACGAGAAGGCAGCAGCCAAGAAGGTCGCTGGTGGAGCTGGAGATGAGGAGGACGAGGAGTAAATCTTTAGGCCATTACCAATTCTAGAAACCCGTTTAGTTCTCATTGAAACTCATCATCCTTACTAGCAATTTTTATAGTTTTGTTTCGAGACTTGTTATTGTAGTGGATATTGGTATATGCGTTGCTTTTATTTATCGACTATTGCTGGCTTCCAGTGTGATTTTGCGCAGTTTCCATTTTGGTTAATGCTAATGAGTATCTATGCCTTTTATATCCTAGTTTGACTGCTTTTTATCCATGCTAATGAATGTCTCTGCTTTTTATCTTTCTCGCTTATTACTTCAATATATTTCAAGATCCAGGTATATATCTGTCTTGTTGGACTTTGGGTCCTGTATAACGCTAGCTACATTTTCATATTTTTCTTGCATAATGGATCATTGTTGTGGCCTTTTAAGTAGTGATGGCAACAAGACCCTGCGGGGCCGAGGAAATCATATCAACTGCAAAAGTGCTTTATTTAGAAGTGATAGCAGTCACTAAAATAAGGTTATCATCACTTCATTATGTTCAAATTTAGAATCAAAAACACGAAAAGGCCAAACATTAAGTTCAAATTCATGAATAAGTTCCACTCCAATGAACATGTTGGCTACTTCAGTAAACAAAAACAAAGTAAACCCCATGATTCTTCCATTAGTTTCTTTCTTTCTATTACTCAACTCAAATTGGCTATTCAAATCAATAATATCCTCCAAGGGAACCCATCATTATCACAGCTAATATATGTTAGAATAGAAAACAATGAAATGAAGAAAACTCAAATCATAAAAATCACGATTCAATCACAAACAATAGAAATTATATCATTTAGAAGTGAAAAATGACAAATCTGGTAGGAAGTTTGACGAACGAGAGAAGAGAAGCAACAACACGGAGAAGAAGCAAGAACCAATGCCTAAGAGATTAAGAAAGATCTAGCAACTAATCCAATCTTATAAGGCTGGGAAATGGTGAGGAGACGGAGATTGAGAGAATCTAAGATTAGATGAGGGATGCGTGAGCTTGAGAGGAGTTGAGAAGGCCAGAGGAATCGAGGTCTAAGGGTGAGTGAGTTTGAGAGAAAAGATGAGATGAGGGAGTCTAGTGTGTGTTCAGTGGAATTGGGAATTTGGGATAAATATTTGGGTTGAGTTAGGTTGGGTTTGAGTAATTAACAATTGGGTTTTTTTAATAATATTATTATAATTATTATTTTTTTTATAGATTTATAATTTTTTTATTATATTCAAATTCTTATAGAGACATGTGAGATGAAAAAAATTATTCACGAAATTTTATGGGAAAAAAATCACATCCATACCCATTGTGCAGAGGAGAATATTTCAAATATATTCATATGTACAATGAGGATTCTCATAAAATTCTGTAGATCACGGGACAAATTGTCATCATTACTTATAAGTCATAATCACCATTGGAATTGGCTTAGGTTATGGCTACACAAAGAAATTGCCATAGCCACACAAAATAATGTAAATCCATCTGAAATATTTAATTTGATTGTTAAAACGTAGTTAATAATTATATTTGTCTTATTTATTTATCATATATTAACTGCTCCTAGCACCTTAGCAAATGATGAAAAACTATTTGATTAGAAATTAACTTATAAATTAATATTTTCATGTACTTTAGTCATAATTGATAAAATCAGATGCACTTGTAGCATTAATCATGATGGAAGTGCAACACTAACCTGACCTCTTTCCTTTTTGTTAAGGATTCAAGCTGTAATTATAAGATTATTATAATTATTTTTCAATCCTTCAATTTCTCACCATTCAAAAAAAAAAACTAATAAAATCAGATAAATTAAATAAATTTATAATATTTTATATGTTGTTATCCATAGATACCTTGTGAATTCTTTTTACTTGTTATAAAATATTTGAACTGTTTCTATCCACAGCAATTCCTAATGCAAGGCTAAAATCTCACTCAACATCAACATCGAAAGCTGTAGAACTCTCCATTACCCATTTTCAAAAAGAAAGCTGTAGAACTCCAAACCAAAATCATCATCTCCCACTGCCACTTGTTCCCCAGTAGCCGACTGATCATACCACGTAGACACAACTTAAATTATTTCGCACTTATTACACAATCATGCACACTTAGTAGATCTCGACGTAGACTCGATGACCAGTTATCTTCTTCCACCTCATCGCAAATCATTCCAAATTGGACTTTATTTATTTTTAAGAAATCAGAAAATATCTTGAGATGCTAACTCTCAGGGCAAAACTCTACTTTTGGCCCTTCATTTTGTTAAGTTTGAAGGTTTTAGTCCATCACCTTATGTTATGATATTTTTAACCTTTCATTTTACTAGATTTGTAAGTTTTACCCCCTCACCTTATATTAGAACACTTTTATTAGAACACTTTTAACCTCTCACCTATTAAAATTGAAGAGAATAACCCTCAATTTGTAACATTTTGTTAATTCTGTTAACTAACTATTAATTTTATTAGTTGATTATTAGTTGATTGTTAACCGTCAAAATTTTTTTTTCAACTAATAGAATTAACATAACTAATTTTATAATATTTCGTTAATTCTGTTAATTAACTATTAGTTAACGTTAGTTGATCAAAATTTACTTTCATTTAACAGAATTAACAGTCAGTCTAAACTGAGAGTTATTTTCTTCAATTTTAATAAGTAAA